TTTTTTTTTTTTTTTTTTTTTTTTTTTTTTTTCTGTTCAAATGAGCTAATATATTGTCAATGATTTAGAGTTGTTTTCATGGAGTCATTAAAAAAAAATGTTGCACTAGAATTAGCAGGCTTTCTGTTTAGTGGATTCTTTAATCGATTTTCGATAACGATGTGTGTTTGGGCATCAACTGCTACTGCTACTGCTACTGCTATTGCTGCTGTCTTAGAGACCCAAAAAATTAATGAATAACATTTGTGCATTAGAAAAAAAAAAATTAAAAGAAAAAAAAAACAAGCAATAATTTATAATGCGAAGATTCGTTATATAACACTTTAAAAACGTGATAACATATCAAAAAAAGAACATCTTTTATTTACAGTGGAAGTATAAAAGTGAGAAAGCTTTAATAAGAAAGGATAAAAGAAGTGGAACAGAAAGAAAGGTTGAAAAGTGACAATATGAGTTTTTGAAATAACAGAACACTGAACTGGATTTAACTGGAATTAGTTGAGCTGAGCTGAACTGAACTGAATTGAATTGGATTGAACTGAACTCAGTTCAATTGAATTGAACATAGAGGCGGGGCACAATCATTTCTTTAGCACTAATTGTCTTTTGCAAATTGTTGTTACCCTGCTGCTTTTTTTTGCTTTTTGGTCATTTTCAGCTATAAAGTCTCCATTTTTTTAGCTCCTTAATTTTTTAAGGTCTCTTGTTATTGAAATATATTTTTGCTATTTTAATGCTACTTGGCGTGCATAACATTTTATTCTTCAAGTTGTTCGTCCCTTAAGCTTACGAAGTCTTAAGAATAAAGCATTTTCTTAATTTTGCTTGGACTGTTTATATAATCCTTATTGTCTTTGCAGTAAAAAGCGGCGAATCACTGAACTTTGAGGATGGATGGAGAGCAGAGGAATTCTCCATTTTATCCACTTCCAACGCAATTTTTACAACCAGAGGCCAGTGAAGATGAAGAGGATGATCTGAGGTATGCAGACGATGACGAGTATGACCACACACTTATGCAGATTAAAGTTAACAGTCGGGCTGCTGCTAATGACGATTTAATTCCGCCGGATGGTTCTGGAATCTCTCCCAACGTCTTCTATGGTGTGGCCGAAACTTCTCACCAGGTAGTTGTAATTCCAGAATATTTGGTTTTTTTTTTTTTTTTGATGTTTTTTTTCTTCACTAGAAGTTTGAACGAGTGAAAAGTAATTGAAACTTTTCACAATTTTTTCGTAAAAACATTGCCGCAGTTGAAGGTTGAAATTGTAAAAAAAATGTCAGGGTTTTTTCAAGCTGTTCGGTACTTAGAAAACAGTAAGCTGCTTTAAAACAGCATGTTTCCGCTTGTAATTTTTTTCAAAATGTCTAGATTCGAAGTAGAAATTTGTTCTGGTGAAATGAAATTAGGAGCTAACCGTCTGTAACTCGTGTTTTTTGATTTTAGTGGCTGTATGAAATCGGGAAATCGGCGTAGCTGGCGTTTAGTAGTTTATAGAGGGTTTTTCATTGTTGGAGCGGCCGTAAAAAAAATGCCCTTTTTTTCAAATAAACTAAAGATTTTACTTTGTGCATTTTATTTTCGTTCGGATAAGGTCTTGCTTTTTGACTTTAGCTAGTACCTGGGCTGCATTGTGATTCTTAAATAACAATATAAATAGATAAGTCGACGGTGCTTTTGGAAGTTGGTTTTTGAAGAATTGGAGCGTGATTTTCAAGCACTTAAAGCTAGCCTTAGAAGATTTTTTGCCTTCAAATTTACCACTGAATCGCCAAATTGGTACCTTGTACTTCGCTTTGATTTTGGATGGGTGCACGTTGCTGTGTTGGCTGCCTTTATAGTGAAACATTCAATTTTGGGAAAAGATGAGAAACTCACTTCAGGAGGTTAAATAGTCCAGCAACCTACGTTGACACATGAGTAGGCACTAGCACACTTTAGAACGTTTTATCTGTTCGAGCGGCTGAAAATGAGGA